GTATCCAATTGTTCGAATCTATAGCTAGAACTAGATTGAAAGCTTTCTTGATAAATTAAAATAATGTCATTAAAAAATGGATCTTCAATTAATCCCGTCAAGAGAATTAGTGTTTTTGATCATTGGTTCGCCGTAATGATATTAAATGATTTTTAAACAGACTTAAACTTAATTCTTCTTATGTTGATAAACTTAACACCTGGCCAGTCTGTTGTCCAGTTGGGGCGAACTATTATGTGCAGTATTTGTGATATCCGAACTAACTTCGGGCAGGAGAAAAATTAACCTTTCTATTTTATGAAGGCCGCGTTGCGTTCGTTTTTACTTTAGGATACTTAATTCACTATTTTCCTAATAGATGGCATAAGTGGTTCCAGTTTTTCACGGACTACGACTTCAATCGAGGGAGGGAAAATGTGGGTTGGGGTTCTGGGATACACCATACTGTAAAAGATTTGTGTATTGAAAATCATGTTGTTGTGTTTTTATATTACATCATACTAGTTATATTATATTTAGCCTCAAAATTTTGTTTCATTTGCTCTAATTGAATAAGTTGTGCGTGTAATCCTTTATTTTTTATATGTGTATGTAAATATTTTAAATACCGCAGTTATTGCATTTAAAATTTTATTTTTGTCATAAAAATTTTTTTTCTAACTTTTATAATAATATAAAGAAGATAAAATTTAAACACTCAAAAAAATTCTTCATTCTTGGTTCATTTTTCTGAAATATTCACTGTTAAGGGGTTGAAGTCGTCTTTAGATTATACAGCCGTGTAGTTTCTAGCGACTATACGGATTATAAAAATCATATCCGCTGTAGTCTTATAATTCTTAGTACCTTTTGTTACTGACACTATAGCACTGATTAAATGTACGAGAAAAACATTCTTCCTGGGAGTATTTTTCTTGAATAAATGCTAGTTTAATTTCCGTAAAGTACCCTAAAAGACTTCCTTTTCGTTCCTCTAGTCTAGCAGTTTCTGTTACTTTTTTAATTACTTTCCCTTTGAGTGAGTTATATTTCAAGGAAATTACTACCCTAGAGTTCTAGCACAGTCTGGTCTCTCTGTCATTAAATGACCCCATCTATTTGCAATAAACCCGGATCATACCTCAGGAGCGATCATTTAAACTCGCTGAGTAATAAAATCTTTGCTCTGTTTAATATGTAACTATATTACGTAAAGGTTTGTTTTAATGGTATTCCACAGTTTATATGACGATTCATTTTAAAAAATTATGCTTATTAGATATAGTTTATGAAATCTAAAGAAAAACATTNCTAACCATAGTTCCGAAAAACTATTTATTACTCTAGCTAAAAAAAAAAATTATGCAAGCACACACTCACAATGAATATATATATATCACGTCGTTGCCGAGTGGAAGAATTAAAACAGGTCTTAGGCCGGGAAGGAAGGTACAAAATTTATTTATTAATTATTAGACAGAGCAGTCATGAGAAAGTGTAAAAAGTGAACACGAAAAGTTGCTCTCCTTGGTTATATGTTAGGGAAAATCTTGCTATCCATAAAATGTCTTAATTTAGGTAAAGAGGGAAATCTAAGAAATTGTACTTGGATTATCAAATGGGTCGACAGTTTCCCACAGAGAGCAAAGGGGAAAATGTCCTGCTTTTAATTAAATGCATGCTTGAGCTAACAATAGATTTAAGAACAGGATGTGGCTTTTAAAAGTGTGAGAAAGTATTTCGATTTGAATAATTAATTAGGATAACATAAAAAGATTAATTGAAGCTTTTTAAGTTACATCCCCCCTCGCCAAAAATGTTTAATTACAATCCAAAAAGTTTAAAAATTATCTATTTGCAAAATCTTCCCTCTGATAGAAGCACAATTAAAATGAAAATAATCAAATTTGTAATATTAACAATATATAAAAGTAATATGAATTATAAAACATTTACATATGTACTCATGGTAAAAATTTTAGCCCAATCAGAAATCTGTAGTAGCATCATCAGCAAATTTAAGATTTTCATTTTCAACAGCTTTTATGAATTAACAGTTTTTCCAGCTCCAAGTCTGTTTGAAGATTACAACTAAGTTTTTTCACCATAGTATTCCTCATTATCACACACTTTTTAAATTGACTCCTCAATCATGATGACAAAAATTTATAAACATTTTTTTTTAAATGTGTAAGTTAAAATGTAAAACATAAAATACAAAAAACAGTTTTACAGCAAAAATTTCAATCTGAAATTAGATTTGAGTATTGTTTACCTTTTTGAAAACAAAATGAAATAAAAAATGACACAGTGGTTGTTATTGTGAAGTCCAAGATTTCAGTATTGTCTTTATATCATTTTATTTATTACCTTACATATTTGTCACTTTAATAGCAAAATATTTGAAAATTTCCTGAAATTAAGAATTTATTTATTATCTTGGATTTGCACAATTCTGTCAACAAAATTTTGACAATGTTACCCACCATTATCACATTTAGTCTCAAGAATATTTGAAAATTCAAGATTATTATCAGTTTTGCTATTTAAATCTTTGTTTTTAAGTCTATTTTTTGTCTTATTTTTCTTTAAATTCACTTTGTTTACATTCTTGTTATTCTCATTTTACTTTTATTATGTCCAAAATTTTCTTTCCTTTCTTTCTCCTTTCTTTCTCTTTTCTTTCTTTTTTTTTCTTTTCTTTCTATTTTCTCTATATTTATTTATACTTTTTTTTATTGATATTTTTATTGCAATCATTAACCAGGATTTCAGGAAAAATGTGTAAGGACAAATTGCTTTTAATCAGAAAAGCTGATCAGTCTTCTCAGATTTTGCATTACAACCTGTTTAACACAATCACTAATTGAAATACAAAACAAAGCTTTCAAATTTAACATGGTATTAATGTAAATCAGTTTTTAATTTTTGACTGATCTAGCTATTTTCCTCATTTTTAATCTGAAGTACAAGTTTGGTTAATTTGCAAGTTACCTTTTGTTTGTTTAAATTTTTATCTTTCTTTCTTTTTGGACATAAATTGTTTTTTTTTTCTTTTTTTTTTTCAAAAATTTTAGTTCGGATATTTTTTTTAAAGTAATTTTTGTGCAGAGATGTTAATTGGTAATTTAATTTGCCACAATTGCCACAATTTACATGATTCAGGTGTGAAAAATTCTAATATGGTTACTATTATTTTTCAATTTGTGTTTGGTCACTTTCCTATCTTTATGCTGGAATTAAAGCTCGGAAATAAGGAAAAGATTTGTTTATGGAAACAACTGAGCTAGAACTATTTACCACCGTTGGACTCAAGCATTAATGTCTGGTTTCACATTTCAATTCAAATTCTAACAACAAGTATCTTATTTTTCATTTTTCCAAATTATTCGTATTAGGTTTAACACTTCTTGATTTAATTTTTGCCACACCGTAACTGCATTCATATATTAAAATTTTAATTTCAATAATTATTATAGTTGCATTACGAAGAGAAAAATATTTAAATGGCATTTTCAACTTAACCCTACACACTATAGTAAAGCAAAAATATAAACTCTACTATAATCCAAAAAATCATAGAAACTGTCACACATAAAACAATAAATATGAAAATAATTTCTTGAAACATTTTTTATGGCAATCAAATCACTGAAAATAAAAATTTCCCAAGAAAAAAAATTTCAACCGTAAATACGATCAATGCATAAAAAATAATTGTTTCAATTGTAACATCAAGTATGAGGGAAAAAAATTTAAAATCATAATCTATGATTTTTGTTATTTGCATGAGTGCTTTTTTTTTATTAATCAATGAAAATTAAGGAAATTGTTTTATGAGAATTGTAAAAAAAATTAACAAAAAGGATACGTGAAAAAGCAAGAGAACTCCTGGATCAAGTATTGGGGGAAAATTGCCTTCGTGGAGGACTTTTTTTAACGGAATTAACCAGTATTTGCGTTACATGGAAAGGAAGACCACGAAATCCTTCCACGGTTAGCCTATCGGCAATGGGTCTCTAACCCATGATTTGTCTTCACGTCAGTACTGTGGTCGGTGCAAGCTGGGTGTGGAATTCGTATCGACGAACCATCGCTGGGATTCGAACCCTGTTCACTTTATTGGAAGGCGAATGCTTTATCCCCTGAGGCATCACGGCTCACTGACCTTGATTCACTTTTTCCAAGGATTTCTTCAAAATTTAAGGGAAGATTTATCAGTATTTCACGATATCTCTAAATATTTACATGACCAGCAGGCATACATAATATTTACATGATAAAGCATGCATATCACGGGTACGTCGGGCAATATAATTTTCGAAGCATGCTCAAAACAGTATTTTCCAAACACTTTTAAATTTACTCTTTCATACATAAGGTGTGTGTGTTTGGGAAGGTGTGCACTACATAAACAAATATAAACCTTAAGAAACTAAAAATAAACCTCCAAAGGAAAAATTGTCGAATAAACGAAACTCTGATCAATAATCGAAATTGAAACTACAAGAAAACCAGAGCAATTTTCATTCAATTCTTTTTTTTAATTCAAGGTTTTGGATAGATTAAGCCGAGAATTATGAATATTCGTAGTTAATTGTACCCTTAAGTATAAATGATTGTATGATCTACAACCCCTTTAACCCTTTAAAAAAATAGACCCATATTCATTTCACCTGCTTTTCCAAACAACTGCTTTTACTAGCACCTACGAGTTAGTACATGGAACAAAAATACCCAAATGGCTTCTTAAAGCAGACGATTATTAAGTCAATAGTTTAAAATCTTTTTCTCTTTTTAAAAGTGACTTTTTATCTTCTATGAATATGTTAGAATAAACCAAACTAAGAAAAAAAAAGAAAAATAATAACCGGGAAAAAATTTAATAGTGGATGTAATAATCTTAATTTTTGCTCAGCAATTAAATAAAGTTTTTTTTTTCAGTTATAAAATCAACTGCAAAAAAATTCGAATTTTGACAGAATATTTTGGGAGCACGTGCCCTTTCGTGCTTTCCCCCCACGCTACGCCTATGCTTCGAAGAAGATTTTAAATACATGTCTCAAGAAAACTGAAACGATTCGTAAAAATCGATCCAGCTCACTCTGTATCCCCGGTAGATGGCGCTGCTTTACGGCTCGATATTCTTCTGCCTGTACGATGGGACAAAGATCCTGAAAACGCAGTATCAGGATCTGGATTCTGTGACTATGGCAGCTGCACAATCAAAATCCAGGAACTGCAACATACGGGAACCCTAAAGAAAATTATTCTATGAATTCCATCGCAGTTTGACTTTTGGAATATCGTCTGAGTTTTTGTGACTATACTCAAATTGTTCGATTTCAAAAATTATGAAGTTAATATTGGATTCCCGAATTGAAGAAGTTAATGGTAAGATTTTCTATTTCTTAAATTACTAAATGAGACTTATTTTCCAATATAATCATTATGCAATCCTTTTTGTGATTTAAAGAAATAATAATTCAATATCCGTTTCCCAAATGAATGTAATTAATGATAAGAATTATTATTTCCTTGTTCAATCTCCATTGATCCTCCTGGTTAACTCCTGGGATGTTGTTGGAATGCTTCACTATTTCTTTAAATACGAAATACTATCTTTGGGACTTATATAAATGCAATTGTTTTATTCCAAAAATATAACTTTTATATTCGAAACCCAAATAGTAGAAGTTAATGTTAAGAATAACTATAAATGACTTAAGTACTCATTGCTACCTAAATTTTCTTCTTTTTTTCCCATTTCCATTGAGTGAATATTCTCGAACTTTAACAATAACTCCTGTTTTATGAAAAATATTTGTTACTATCTTCGTTAAGTCGTATTTTAGTGCAGTTAAAAATTCGAAAAAGCTTTGGGGTGAATATAAAAGTAAAGGCGAAACTTTTAAATCTCGTTTTCCACTGAAAATTATCTTCAAGATTTAGTTGAATATGTTAACAGTCAAAACAAGGAATTGTACTAAAATTTGGAGTTACTTTCAGCAAGAATATCATCGGATTTCCTACTATATATATATATATATATATATATATATTATTCAATTAAATTTTTTAAGTATACAAAACAGTCAATGCTAGTGAAAAGTCATTTTAAAATGCTAACAGCAATGCTATT